CACACACACACACACACACACACACTCACACAAGCACACACACACACACACAGACACACATAGAGTTACACACACACACAAACACACACACACACACACATGCAAACACACACAACAATGAAATATTAGCGAATATGTTTGGTGAAACCGCTGTCCAAGCTGGACACTCCAAGAATAGTTATCGATTTGTTCCATAAAAATATCTTACAGCAATGTTTTACAGCTATGGCGAGGTTTTGGGAGGGGCCCGCAGATTTGTCATTTCTGCAAAGGCCTTTTCCAAAGACACTGTCAACTTCACAACTGATGTCCAAGAGGACGACCTGGAGCCGGATGACATTGAAGATATTTTTGGTGATTTCACAGACAGCATCAATAAGATGAAAGAAAGCAACAAGCAGGTACATTTTTTTGTTATTTCAGTTTTTTCTAGGCTGAACCTTTTCTGCGCATCTAGCCAGTTTCGCTCCAACTTTACTACTAGGTAGATATATCATATCGATAACATGATAAAAAATGATGTTAATCTTTATGGCTGACAAATATAGATTATTCCCCCTGATTGTGCAGATAGGGTCCTCATTTCCATGAATTATATCAGTCTTCATCATATTCTCAACCAAAAGACAGTCTTATATTAGCAAACAGTGCCATTCTATTATTTCCTCATAAATTATGCAAATAAGGTGCTGATATAAATACATTATGTTTAATGATGTTTACCTTCACTGAACTTTCAAATACCACAAGTATGAAATTCCAGGCAGTTATCATTACAGAATTATAACATTTTCTCATTAATAATGCAAATTAAGTCCTCATTTACATAATCAATATGTGCCTGTGTTTCTCTCCTTCTCAATTACCAATCTCACAAGCTTCAATAGTCCTATCATGGAATACAGCTGATTTATAGAATATCCCCATAAATTATGCAAATCACATCCACATTTGCATAATTGTCACATAATTATGTCAAGCATCACGTAAGCTACCTACATACCAAAAATCACGATGATCCGTCAACCGGTTCTTGAGTTATCCTCTTTTGAATATTTTCAAACAGATAGCCCTGCAGTTCCAGAGCAAGCCGCTAGGGGGCTCACGTCACTGACGTCACTTCTTCCCCAGCACAAGAGCTACCTACCATCCAAATTTCGTCACCCTAACATGTCTAGATCCTGAGATATCAAAACTGGAAGTTCAGCTGCAGTACCTTAACAAGCCGCTAGGGGGCCCAAAATCTAATCAGTTCGAGCTCTCATCAAGACCTACCCACCTACCAAATATCAAGATAATCCATTTAAGCTTTCTCGAGTTATGCTGTTGACACACACACAGACAGACAGACAGACACACACACGGCCACGAAAACATAACCTTCTCCAATTCTTGGCGAAGGTAATAAATAAAACATCTTAGAGCAAGTTGCTTCATAACTTTTATACTGATGCGAATAGATATACTACTTATAGACACACTGTTGTTCACAGGTTGAGGTCCTGCGAGATGAATTCAAAAGTGTTTTGATGAGGCTCAGGTATGCTCAGACCAAAGCAGCAGGTGGCACAGTGCGTGGAAGGGAAAACGCTGCCACGGCACATGAGCACATGGGATACGGTCTCCTCGGTACTGTTGGCGCAGTGGGTGCAACTTTAGTGACCGGAGGCGTTGCCGCTCCACTCGTTCTACTGGGTGTCGGCTACACATGGAAATCTATGAAAGATAAGGTAAGTTTGGCTATAAACAATAGCATGTATACGGAAATTAAGCCGTTGGTAAAACATAAAATGTAAACCGTAGATTGAAGACTGTCTGTTTTTAAGAAGTTGCACTCTACACATACACATACACACACACATACATACACTCGTACACATACACATACACTCGTACACATACACATACACATACACATACACATACACTCGTACACATACACATACACATACACATACACATACACATACACTCGTACACATACACATACACTCGTACACATACACA